ATGTGTCAGCAAAATACTGACAAAAATGGTGACTCTTCATAATGTAGATAGGTTACTATTTAGATTTTCAATGAATTTTCATACAGAGCACATAGCCTTCTATCTGCTGTGTGTAAACAATCTGCACTTCAGCCCAGCTTCGCCAAAAAGTTGCTAAATGTTTGTCACATGGCTGTTGTTTGCAGCTGAGTCAGTCACTGTGCAAAAGAACGCAGAGTTCTTTGTTTTTTACAGATCTGGTACAAGTTAAAATTGGACATGTAGGATAAAGTCATTTTGAATAAATATCTCCATTTTATCGTTAGATTTGTTTAATTATCCTGACAGAACTGCACGTCACATTAGCTCAGTGTTCATCAGAACATTTTTGTTTTTGTTTTTTTTTTAATCTGATGATTCTTTCTGTTGTAACAGTTTCTCACTTGAAAAAAATGCCAGTTTTTAAAAGTTTACATACCTTTCAAACTTACTGATGGGTTTAAATTTAGATTTTGTTTTAATTAAATTAATTAAATTTTAAACATTGTTTATATATGTCAGTGTCATATATATTTATATAATTAGATATTAATTCATTATTTAATTATTATTACTTAATTAACATTTAAACTTAAAACATGACTGATGGGTTCAACGGGTTAAATGATGGTGTTAAAGTTGGGACGCTGTACGTCATTTTAAATAAGTAAGAAAGAATTTTGGCATTAGACAAGTGGAAACTTTAAAACCCTCAGCTTCAGACAGACTGTATTTCACTATTGGTACAGAGTCCATGGTCACCCTAACAGTTTGTCAGGATTCGATGTTCTCATTGTCAGTATACGATCAAACTGCACTCAGAGACATAAAAAAGTAACAATGAATGTTAGTGAAGTTGAAGAACGTGAAGAGAAGAGAGGAAATCGAGAATAGAGTGAAGAGTCAGAAACAAGTGACGAAAGGGTCAGAGAGGAAGGCAGCGCATGATGCAGGTTTTATTTTAAGACCTGGAATAGATGGGCAGAAGTAATGTGGCGAGAATTAGCCAGTGACCTCTCACGCTCCGGCCCTTTTACTCCAGGCATTGCCATGGCAACAGAGGTTAGGGGTTACTTTGGGATCAGATCTGGAAGAGGTGGGAGGTGAATCCTCACATATCATTTGAGATAAAGGGGTGGGTCACGTTAATTGGACAGTGACATACACTACAATAGCTGACAAGCAGAGGGTGGTCTGCTGAGCACAATCACAAGGACAAGACGAGTCATGGCCACACACGATGAGGCACGTGTTGTTGGAATTCTTCCTCCTCAACTTGACCTTTATTCAACAGTTTCTTTTCCTCTCACAGTCCTTTGCTCATATTCTACTTGTCCTCCACCTCCCACTCTCTGTTTTTCAAGCCCCTACTCAAACCATAACATCATGGAATGAGATCAGCTGAATAGTTTTGTAGACAGGTGCTTAAAAGTTAAAAACTCGGTTTGTGATTTTAGTCTTCTAATGAGCAGTTTTTGTCTTTGGCACCCCATCATTTCCATGTTTGTCTGTCGTGCCTAACTTCCAATTTTTTATTTATTTCATTTGTTATAGAGCCTTTTATTATTCATGGTGAGATATTTTTCTCCACAGATTAATGACCCTGCAGCAGTCGTGTTTTTTGCCCTTTTTCTCTATTATTTTAAGTCATTGGTTCAGCCACAATTGTTGCAGTATTCATGCCCGGTCCCAAATCTATCACCCTGTGTGTTTGAGTCAATGTGCGTCACAGAGGTTTTGGCTTCAGACACCAGGAGAATCCACCCCTAGGGACACTGTCGGCAGGAATCAGCATTAAAGCGGGCTTTCCTACTCATAAAAGAGAGCAAAGGGAGTGAGGAGAATGGGGAGGAGAGGGGAGATGAGAAGAAGGAGTCAGAGGGAGGGATATTTATGAGAGCAAGGACATGCACATGCCTACCAAAACACAATCCTTAATGCTGTGGGACTCTTTTGATACACTTGTACTAGAAGCAGATGAAAGAAAACAAATGCACAGACAGATGTATAGATAGAAACATACAGTGACTAGGTGAAGTGAATGCTTTAGTGAACAGTCGGTGTTGCTGGATGTGGCCCACTTTGTTCCAGAACACACTATAGTTCTGCCGCTATTTTTGGGTTTGCAGCAGTCTAGTTCCAGCCGCTGCTGCTCATCACTGCTCCCAACCCCACCCCGAACCCACAGCCCCTGCCCCTCTGTGATGTCCACTCAAATTAGACTCACACACACCCAACACAAAGTCACACACAGACACACACATACACTCCTGACTGCACAGTACAGACCATAGTGGGATGGAAGGAAAGAGAGAGACAGAGAGAGAAAGAAAGATGAAAGGAGGGGTTCACAGAGGGATGCACTCGTCCTTCAGCACTGATGACCTCTTCTTGTTTTGACCCTCTTATGAGTGTAACACGGCATTGTTACTGTACGCTGCAAGTAACAGAGGTTTCTTCTGAGACAGACGTGGGCAAAAAATAATTTGAAATACTGTTTTGGATGTTCTTGATCCCTCCCTACTTGAAAAGTTCAAAAGTGAATGAAAATTCCGGCAGCTGTCATGTCCTTCTTCGTTATGCACCCTGTATTAAGTAACTGTTTTGGCCAGCTCTTAATCTAAAATATGAATATGTTTGACTGCTATTTAATCAGAAACTCTCTCTCTTTTTTATCCCTTTCTCTCCATCCCTGCCTCCCTATGTTTTGTATATTCTCCTATCCTTGCTCATAATCATCCGACCTAAAACACACAACTAACCACACACACACCCATCTCCTGCACGCATGCTGACCTAACCTCACCCCCACTCACATGCACAAAACCCACATCCACATACGCCTTCCAGAGTCCCGGTCTAGACGTTGATGAGAACGGTACGTTGGACCTGAGTATGAGCAAGCGTCTGTGCAGCGGCGGTGCAGGGGACTCGGTGCTCACTCCTCTCGAGCCCATGTCCCCCCAGAGGCAAGCCGCCCTGCTGGGCTCCCGCTGCTATGGCATGGGGGACGCAGACTGCTGGGACCTGCCTGTAGACTACACCAAGATCAAACACATAGACGAGGACGAGAAAGAGGTAAAGAGGGAAAAATACAAGGACAGTTTTGGAAATTCGCTTAGCCATACTATCTGGTTGTGGGAAGATAAAAAAGAAATTGTGTATCATTTTCTCAGGAAGGGTGGTAGATCCCTGATTAAACTTAGTATTCCTAAAATAAAGAATAATCTCCCCAAAGAGGTTCAGTCACCTTACAAAGATTAGTAGAACTGTGCTATATAAAGTCATATTTGAATGTTCCATCACAAGTTTATTTTCCCGTTAAATGTTCATGACAATACTAGAAAGAAATGATGACAAAGTGATGAAGAGAAGAAGAAAAGGGGAGAGCTTACGGATGACAAACAGTCATGATGTCGATGATAATTATAAAGCAGTAGTTGTGGCTTTGGAGGCTGATAGACCATACAGTTGGCATGCGTCACTTATACTGTCTGTTCAGTGTGTCTCAGCCCAAATTATCTCCCTCCAAGCCATTGATTCAACACAGTGTCTCCAAGTCAAACATTTGCATTGCTGTCTGATTGTCTTCTAGGTTTCTTACCTCCCCTTCTGACTCACTGTTATCTCTGGAATCATTAGAAAGTCATATTAGAGATTTTTGAGGGAAACCTAATGAATCTGCATGTTAATTGATGTCAGCATTGCCATGCACAGAGTTATCTGCTGTGTTTGTATCATGCTTCCCGCATGCTGGCTTTCTGTTTTTACATTTTGCTCTTCTCCAAAATGAATTATGCAAAGTAGCACCTTGGGAGGGAATCGGAATAGCTCATCTCATCAAAGAACTGCTGGAAATCAATGCACCACTGCTGGGTGCGCCTGTCGGTGTGCACAGGCGCATGCATATACAGTACATGTGCCTCTTTTGCTGTGTGTGAGATGTGAATATTCATAAGTGTGTGTGTGTGTGTGTGTGAGTGTGTCTGTACCGATGTCTCTTTGGGAGTGTGTCTGCGTGCATATGCGAGTTCCATCCCTAGCCTACTTTTTGCTCTGCATATCTGTACGTATGCATGTGTCGTTCTCCTTCCTGTCTGCCTCTCAGCCTGCGCTCCCTTTAATTGGAGAAACTCGCTGGCTGACCCAGCATCACACACTCCGAGACAGCTTGAGTGCTGGATAATTTGGGCTCTATCTGGACCTGTCTCTTTATGGGCATTACTGTACATACACTGCAAGCATGGAAGAAAGGAAAGAGGATTTGCATCAACAGCCGTCGTGCCCTGGCTGCATGCACTGCAGACAAAGCACAGCCCAGCATACCACAGCCAGCAGCGGTCTGACACTACACCACAGTGCCATCTAGTGACTGACTGCTTCATTACACGAACGCGCCGAGACAACTCCCCGAATGTTCTGTACTTAAATGCACTTAAACGTACATAGCTACAAGTGAGCCCCCCCCACACACACTGCTAGTTTGTCACTGAGGCATTAGTTCTTCACAGGGATTCTATTTCCCACCTCTGTTAGACTGACAAACTGACGGGCTCAATTATCACAAAGGCTCAACCATTAGCATTCAAATTGAGAAGGATCTGTAATCTGACAGCTTTGCATGTGGTGCATATGTGTGTGGAAAGACAGGTAAAGAGGTAAAGATGGCCAAGGAAACAGACTGTTGAGTGTGCCGGTTGAGAAAATGCATTTCATATTGTTGAGTGCATGTGATGTGTAATTTGAGCAGGATTTGTTGAAAATGTATAATGAGAATATTCTTTTAAAAGCCCTTGTTATATGTTTCTTCCCCCTTCCCTGCCTGTGTTTCTTCTTCCCTTCATTCCCACCTGACCACAGCCGGATGACCTGGATCCCTTCCACGACCTGCTGGAGGACCGCTCCTACACCACAGATGTTAACATGCCCAGCCCCAAGCCCAAGTATGTCCAATGCAAGGAGAGTAAGAAGGACCTGATAACGTAAGAACCCTCCTCCTCTTCCTAATCTCCCAGTTTTCCTCCTGTACACCTGACCCCACTTGCTTTGCCCTGCTCATGCTCTGCTTTTTCCCCCTCCATCTTATTTCTTTCCTCATCCTTCTCTTTGCTCCAGTGGACCTCAGTGAACCACCTGTCTTTCTCTCCCTCCCTCCCCCATCCTGTGCTGCTGGCAGTGGCTTGCTATATGACTTTTATTTACCTGCTTTATCCATATGTCCACACTGATCTTTTACACGGTAGCTTCAACTGATGCCTTAATTGTAGTTTCCCTCTTTTGATGCTTTATCTTTATGAGACACCACATTGGTTGTCAGTATCATTCCACGTCAAGTGTAGCTGATCTCAGGAACTACAATATTTAATCACAGACAGTGAAGCTAAACTGGAAACAATGAAAACCAAAGATGAAAAAAATCTGAAACAACCCCTTTTTCTGTAATTTTCACATTTTCTTCTCCTTCCCTTTGGGCTTATAAATCTGTCTATTTTTCCGGTGGCAGATGTCCCACACCGGGGTGTGATGGAAGTGGTCACTTGACGAGCAATTTCGCCTCACATCGAAGGTGTGACTTCCTTTTCTCCTGGTGGATTCTAAGTCTATTTCTCTTTATTGTTTTCAGCTTACCTCAACTATGCTGTCAAACACCTGTAGGCAGAATGTCTGTCTCTCTTATTTGTTAGCCCTTTGACTATTGGCAGTTTGACTTGCTGAAGCAAGGGTCTCGTGAAATAAAAAAGGACTAAATTAATTAAAGATTGGGTACGCGCACATTTTAAAGCTAAAACCTTAGATAAAGTTATTTCTCAATGGGCCTTGTGTAAAGCCTTCTAAGCTGATGTTATTCAGTCCTCAAGGCCCTTCCCACAGTGCAATGCAGACTAAGCATTTACCATTCAGAGCAAGATGATTTAAGCAGAATTGCTGAGTGTTGTGGTGTGAGATGAGTCTGCAAGGACCGAATGATGTCAGACATGGCTGCACTTATTTGACATTCCCCTGGACATACTCCTGATTCTGACAAAGTTCATGCTTTTCGAAACACCAATGTGTTTATCTGCTTCTTTTTATTCACTTAGTCCTGTTTGTACCCACTGCAGAGCAGACACATGAAAACAAGTTACATACAAGCACAAATACTCAGAGGGTTAACTTTTTTTGAACCAACTCCCTGCACTTGCATCATGGCTTTTTTACATTTCCTGGTTGATGTTTTATTTATGCATGTGTTTAGAGTGCGGATATGAGTGCAGGCTGACTGTTTTGTGCTACAGTGGTTGGAGTGTCTTTTTAAATTATTTTGCTGTAACTAATGTTCCACTGGTGTATTTTTCAGTCTCTCAGGTTGTCCTTTAGCTGATAAAAGCATTCGAAGCATGCTGGCCAACAACGCACAAGAGCTCAAGTAAGGCGTGAGATGACTCACTGATATATGAATGATTTGTATGTTTTGCTCATCCGCGTTAGTGCGTAAGCCTTAGTGCACATAATTCTGTAAGAGCCGTAATGTGAAAAGTGGACTGAGAAATAGGCTGCTTTGTTATGGATTCGTTGAGCTTTACTTCAGTGCTTTTCAAGGGAAACAATTTAAAACTCATTTATTATGTGGTCACTGGTTTTCAAATCACATAAAATGACCAGCACCAACAAAGAATGTCTCCTTCCAATAAGTATTGCACTGTATGCTTGAGTGTGTATCCAAGTATTATATCATCTGTGCAATGGAGCCCCAATGTTGCCTGATGACTTTTAAAAACACATCAGTTAGCCTCATCGTTCAACACATGCACCTTAGATTGTTTTGTCTTGGTCTCACATATACTGTCCTGCTGCCCCAAATACTCACTAAATGTGTATTAATCTGCAGCTGAAAATACTTCCTACTGTTTAGCCTTCCCCAACTAGAACTAAATATTCATGACCCAAAGTGTAAGTGTTCAGTGGGAGACAATGGAGATGAGAGTGTGGAAGTACTGAGAGACAGACAAACACATGACCAAAAAAAATATCTTTACACAATGTTTATTCTTACGAGTCCATTCATTAGACCAGTGTGTGAAGAACATTAAGTCTCAGGGGTTCTCACAGTCCTGAAGGAATCTTTACATCACTAAAGGCAAGAAAAAAGTAACAATAGGTCTTTGACTACACCGTACTGTATATGGGCCAGTTGAAATCAAAGTCAGAAGAAGCTAATGGTTCACATTAAACAGACATTTAGCAAAGAACCTCATCGCTGTTATTAGTATACTATAGGATGATTGTTTTTTTTTGAGGGTGCTTTTGCTGTAGGCCCTGAGCCCTTTTTGTGTTTTCTGCCCCAGGTGCCCGACACCAGGGTGCGATGGGTCGGGACATATCACTGGCAACTACGCGTCACACAGAAGGTACAACACAAATTCACTATATACATCTTTTGCCCTTATCCCCTCTTTCCACATCTCTGTAAAGATATTACCTTCCTCTGCTTAAACTTTTCCCCCTCTCTCACTCTCTGCTCTCTCCCTCTCTGTGTCTCTCTCTGACACACACACACATGCGCGCACACACACACACACACACACACACGCACGCTGTATGCTTCAACTCTGTAACACTGTCATTTATCTGCAGTCTTTCAGGGTGTCCGCGGGCCAGGAAAAGTGGGATAAAGATCATCCACAGTAAAGAGAACAAGGAGGACCAGGAGCCTATCAGGTACAGTACAGACACTGATCATCAGTCTTCTGTCTCACTTTAAAACCCCGATACTGAAACTCTTCCCCTTGCTAGCAACACTGCTCATTGTTCACTGCGTACTATACATCTCCCATGTGACATATGACATGACACGACTTTACATTTCCCGTTTTAAAATGATACAAAGGCGTGTGAAATGGGAACAAAAAATATTGTACGGATTTGGAATCAGCACTGCCATGTCCTGCTCAGTAATTGCATGTTTCGCTGTTTGATATGCATTCCTTTAAGCAGGAATAAATTAGCTCTGACAAGACAAATGTGCAATGAGTGTAAAGTTTCAAGCCCAGTCTAAAGGTGTGGAAGAAACTTTAGAAGTGCAAGGTTGTAGCAGTTTGGAGGGGGGAGGTTCTGCAGTCTCTGGTGAACTCCTGCAGACACACAGGTTGGAAAATACAGAGAGTCAAGCAGAGAGGGAGAGATAGAGGCAGAGAGAGACTGATTGACTCTACCTAAATCCCACAATGGGCTTCACTGGCCTCAGCCCTGCAGCTGCATTGATTTCTCTGGTGGTGCAGAGCACAAACAACACACGTTGTTCATTCTCAAGCTTGTCATTCTGTTGGATTCTGAGGACACAGGTAACCCTGTCGGAGTTCTCTGTTCATATTAGAATCTCTGTATCTGTAACCCTATCTCATAAGATCAAAAGAATCAAAAGGATGCAGCACATTAACCCTCTGAATGCCAAGTTTTGCTCCTATCATGCTTTTACTCACTGCTGGCTCATTTGTCACTGCAATCTAAAATCCTGCACCTCCATAGAACCAGTACAACCGTGGCTAGAAGAAGAGACAACTCCAAAATGTTTTTTTTTTTTTAATGTGCAGAATGACAGTTAAAATGCCATAAATAATAAAAAAAGGAAAATCACAAGTTGCATTTATTTCATTATTAAATCTACATAAATTGGAAGAAAAAAAAGTGCCCACATGCGTGTGAATATTTTGTTATTTGCATTTTGCAGCCTCTGTAGACTTGTCGTTTGTCACGTCATTCTGATATTTTACTATAGTGAATGTATCCCCCAGCAACTTGCTCCTGTGTATGCCATTTTTGAGCTTTGCTGCATTTGCTTTATTAATGTATGTTTTCAGTCTCTCTATTTCTTTCTGTATTTGTGTCCTATCTGCCCTGTGTAGACACAGCCTGCAGTTCAGCTGACAATATGACTGAATCTTTTTGACGTGACTGTTGGTTGCAATTTAAGTCAGTTGTAGCTTCTCATGAGACATGTAGTATGAAGTGATTTGCTGAAAAATTGCACTTGTAGGCCAAGATTTGGGTAATTTTCCCAACACAACCGCATGTCACTCATGATTAATTTAAGAATTACAGGAAAATTAAAATTCTGATGTTTCTTTCTATTATTTTGAACCAGAGGTTGCACAGTCACTGTGACATGAACCATCTATGTAGCATTTTGAATTGAAAAACTTAAAGACACACTGTGGGGGCATGTGAGGCTAATAATTTGCCAAAAAGGAGCACAATATGGGACCTTGAAAACTTACTGTTGCAAGGTCTAAGTCTTAGTAGTAAGGGGGTCCATAATGATTAGAGGAACAAGCAAAAAGAGAGAAAATGTAATTGTTATCTTTCTTTGCACAAGAAGGTCTTTTTCCCATATTTGTACTTTAATTCAGCCTTCCCTTGTGAGATGTACATTCTAAAAAAAAAAGGAGATCAATATACTTACAGTTATAAATAGATGTTTTGAGTCCATGGACAATTTGAACTCACTTTATGATTCATTCTTGCACAGTTCACAGAAATGCAAGACACTTCATGTTTTTTTTATATATATTTCACTTTGCAATAACAAGACCTTATTGGTAATGCAGCCATTAGCAGTAGGATTATTTGGTCGATGTGAGGTGGCATTTGTGGCATAAATCTGGCAATTGGGAAACTTCTAATGTGGGTATTGGCTGCAAACATTGTGACAATTACTATCTCATTACTATATTTAATGTTTTAATCAGACTCCATTATCTTAAACATAATGGTCTTCCCATTGTCACACTAATTACACACAGATGTGTCTGCCTCTGAATCTGGAGGATTCTACCTGTTTTACATCCACCAGGAGGTGAAACACTGATTTTCCCCCCAAAAAACTGACTTTAGCTACATGATGATGAGACAAAAACTATTGTTTTTGTCCCCCAACATCACAATGACTGTATTCGGCCACTTAGGGCCGGTGACATTTCACCTTGCTGCCCATGCCCGGAGTCTCGGTGTCGTTTATATTTTATTTTTATTTTTAGCATATCAACCCTGTGGTGAATGGTTGAGGAGCTCCATACTGTGTCTCAGTGACATAAAGACTGTTACCGCTGCAATAATCTCCTCGAGACTGGATTACCAAATGCAGCTCACTTACCTGGGGTATTAGCCAGCCCTCACTGTCCTCACTGTCTCGTCTGCAGCTGATGCAGAATGCTGCTGCAAGAATCCTAGCTGATGCCAAAACAATAGAACACATGACACCATTAGTAGCATCCTTCACTGGCTACCTGTCAAATACAGAATTGATGTTATGGTTCTTTTATTTGTTCATAAGCCTTCATGGTTTGGCACCAGGGTACATTTCAGAACTTCCCTGCCTCCACTCTAGCTCTAGGGCTCTTAGATTCTCAGAACAGCAGCTGTTAACTGTTTCACGGTCGAGGCTGTTGGGTACACCTTTGTAGCGGCATCACCAAGACTTTGGAATATCCTTTTACTCTTTCAATCAAATGTTTCCTACCTACTGACTGTTTTTAGAAAAATCTGAAGACGTGTTTCTGTGTGGCGGCTCGGTGATTAGCACCATTGCCTCACAGCTCGAAGATCCCCGGTTCGCATCCAGGTTTGGATGCCTGGGATCTTTCTGCATGGGGTTTGCATGTTCTCCCTGTGCGACGTTGGTTCTCACCGGGTTCTCTGGCTTCCTCCCACAGTCCAAAAACATGCTTAGCTTACCTGGTGATTCTAAATTGATCTGTCCAGGGTGTCCCCTGCCTTCACCCTGAGTCAGCTGGGATAGACTCCAGCCCCCCGTGACCCTAGTGAGGATTAAGAGGTGTATAGATGGTGGACAGATGGATGTTTTTGTGTTTTTGGTTGCCGTTAGGGGTCTTTGATATTATAGTGTTTTATATTTATTTTGTTTTATAAGTCGAACTTAGAAGTTTCTATCCATGAAATCAGACCCTGATTTTGGGAGATTATCTTGTTTAATTATAAGCCGCGATTAAAGCAAATTTAGGAGCAGTGGATCAAACCTACACTGTTTGATATGAATATTTCAATAGGAACTTCATTATATAAACATGATGTTTCCGGTCCCAACACAATCTTTGAAAGATATGTTGGATATGTTGACATAGGCAAGCCATTGGAATGAGCTGTGTGACCTAAAGAGAAGGGAGACCTGTGTTTCATTAATCCAAGATTTGATGTTTGAAATTGCTTAGTGATTCAAATATTAGAAAATGGCAGATGATGATGGTAAAGGTATGATCACTGTTTAATCCAGTTAAAATATTATCCCATCAGTCAAGTAATGCAACAAATCCTGTTCTCATTTTAGACTCATTTTAGAAAGATCTGAATTATAATAAAGCATGAATCATCTGTCACACTATGTACAGAAATGTACTGGATATTGGAAGCAGTGGTATCCTACTAGCTGTATGCTGAGATTTAGGAATAGAATTTGAACATGGACAGTGAAATTGAACAGAATGTGGTAAATATGTGAAGGGAGCATAGGGAAATTTTGTACAAAGCAAAACATTATCAGATATTACTACACAGACTCCCCAGAATGAAACTAATAATGGATTACAATTTTGTTCTGGAAGTACAAAATAGAAGTGAGAACAACTTTGTACTGTATAGAAGGATGTACAGTCAATTTTGGGCTTTTAGAAGTCTAGTGAACAAAGAAATGATATAATTAGGCAAATTCCTTTGACTAGGAACTGATCTCAAATACAAAAGGAAAAAACAAGGTAGCAGGAAGCGATGCACGTAAACTCCCTGTATCTTTTTGCAGTCAAAAAGCCATGAAGTTGAACTAAAACCAGGTAGATGCTATTGGCAGACAGAACTGATACCAGCTTTAGCCATAATCCATTCTGCGAAGTGTGACATTTGGAATAATTTGCTGCTTCAGTGCATCTGATTAGCACTGGTGTTGATGCACTGTCACCACTCCAAAACTGTGATAAGGCTGCCACTGGGACAGCTTTAAAATAGGATGAGCCTATCTTTGTTTATATCAAAGCGCAAAGCGCAAAGAGACGGAGACAAAAAAAAACAAAAAAAAAGAACAACTACAATTTCAAAAAGTATTTTGTATTTTGTTTTTGCCACTAGCTGAGACTTGCGGGTCATTCTTTGAAGGAATAATAATGTCTCCTGTATGGTAAATGAATGATGAAGGAGGATGTTTTACTTGCAAGTAGAGTAATAAAAGTCAGCCATCCTAGTAAATAAGTGTCACTTTGTTCACCCTGTTTCCCCCAGGTGCCCAGTCCCAGGATGTGATGGTCAGGGACACGTAACGGGGAAGTACGCATCCCACAGAAGTGCATCAGGATGCCCTATAGCAGCCAAGAGACAAAAAGACGGCTATCTAAACGGCATTCAGTTCACATGGAAGTCCGGCAAGACAGAGGGCATGTCCTGTCCAACGCCAGGCTGTGACGGCTCTGGTCACGTCAGCGGCAGCTTCCTGACGCATCGGAGGTGAGTATAGGAAACACAGCTCAAATTCTTCATTTTAAGATAAGACAGAATGGCATGTTGTGTGCTGTTGCTGACTTTGACTTACCTGTACTGCAAAGATAGGTTAAGTAGAAGGTGGCAATGTCTGCCTTTTAGTCTGATCTCCTTGCAGAGGTGGAATGTAGTATTCATAATTATGTTTTCATTAATGAGAATCACCTGGAACTGTGATGTCCTTGTGTTTCCTGTATAAATGTAGATATGAATAAACCTTTCATGTCTACATAAGGACTGGCCTCCCACCAGGCTGAGACCATTATTCATAACAGCGTGGCAAAGAAACTCACATGTCATTCATTTTCTTTTCTCTGTGGTCAAATAGTACATTTTTCAAGCCAGTTTTAATTGGTCACTGTTATCACACACAGTCGTGACTGCCATGTAGAAGTACACCTTGAGGACATAAATGTAATGAGATCTGGAACTGTTGCTCCAAGTTATGCTTTTAATTGTTGACTATACAATTTAAATTACATAAGGGTTAGGCAGTAGCTCCAGTTCTGTGAGTGTGTGCGTAGCCCTCTAACAGGCTTTACTATTCGTTGTGTGGGGTGGCCAGACTTTGCTGTAAGGGGGCTGTGGCCACCCCGGGCCACCTCTCGGCTTTCACAAAGTCCATGATTTGGCATGGCCATGTTTCTACAGTAGCCTATATCAGACAAAGCAAACAACAGCTCTAGAGAGAGACTTGCAAATTTAATGTCTAACTGGCAGCTGGAGGTTCTCCTACATGCATGGAAGGAAGACTGAGGGAAGGTTTTTAGTTTGTTACAATCTTCAGCCTCACTGCTACAGACTGGTCCTTTATGAAAGAACACATATTTTGGGTGTTGAATGTAGGAAATTTAGGGAAATGCTGACGGTTTAATTCAAAGATCCATGTGTGTGCAATAAATATCCAAGTACCAACAGCTAGTTAGCTTAGCTTGGCATAAAGGCTGGAAACATGGGGACAGCGAATCGGCCTCTGTCCAGTGGTAACAAAATCTACCAGCATCTATAAAGCTTTTAAATGGTGATATCTGGTTTGACCAGCTGACAGGCAACCAAGACAGTCTGGGAAATTGCTAGCCCCACACAGGAAACAGTCTGGCTTACTGTGCAGCCTGGTAAAACCTGGTGCTGGTACACAGATTATTTTTTTTTACATTCGGACAGAGTCTGGCTAGCTGTTTGCTCCTTATTCCAGTCTTTACTCTGAGCTTAGCTAAAAGGTTCTGGCTACATGTTTACTGTACAGACATGGTGGTATCGCTCCCACTGAGAAGACAGTGAACAGATGTACCAGAACTTCCTTCAAGTATGACACTGATGCAATATTTCTTTTCAACTTCCAGCCAGCAGTCTGTAAACCATGTTGGCTCATTGTACATGCATGTTGAAATCCATAATATAATGAAACAATGCTTTCTCTTCCAGTCTGTCTGGTTGTCCACGTGCCACCTCCGCCATGAGGAAAGCCAGGCTCTCCGGGGTGGAAATGCTAACAATAAAACAGCAACGCGCCAGCAACGGTAACTACAACTACCACTCACCCACACAATACAGCCAATCAGCTGCATGGATGTGCAATGATTTACTGAAGAGAGTTCCAATTTCAGATAATAAACCAATCAGGAGTGTGTATGTGTGCGTGCAAGCGAGCATACGTGCTTGCGTGCATGCATGTGTGTGTGTGTGTGTGTGTGTGTGTGTGGCTAGCAGCATCACAAATAAACTGCCATTCAGGAGCAGGATGTAAATAATGAGAAGAGTGGCGCCAATCTGGGAGAACAGGGCTGGGCTTACTTGGCAGTAATCACTTACAAATATCTGAGCCTGCCTCTTGTTATGTGCAGCATCTGTTTTCCACTGCACCTTGGACATGCGTGGATTTCAACACTTCATTAGATGATGTGATAAGATAATAATGTACCTTGTCTGTCAAATTGTTGAGTCGTGATAATCCTAAATGACCAGTCCCTGTTGTATTAAACAGAGGTGAGACAATCACACAATGTCCAGCAGAATTCTTACTTAGCTCAACACAGATGCTGTTAATCGGATTTATGACTGACGTCTTGCAGTGAACTGTCGGTGCTAATGCTGCTCCTCTTGTGTAGGACTGGAGCACGAAGAGGAGATCAAACAGCTGGATGAAGAAATCAAAGATTTAAGTGAATCTAATTCACAAGTGGAAGCAGACATGATCAAACTTAGAACACAGGTGAGTTGCTTCCTCTCTGCTGTAGTCAATAGACTGTGACTGCAGGACGCAACAGAAATGAATACACCAGGTGTAGCATCGGTTAATGTCAAATCACTCTAAAGTGTTCCACCTTACAGTAGTTTCATCACTTCCTTAGAAGTTGAACAGCCGAGTATTTGCACTTATGTCAAATTAACAACTAACAGTTTAGATTTACTGCATTAAAATACAGGCCCACAGTCAGAAGCCAATGCAACAAAAGTAGTATACCTTTCATTACTGAGACTTTCATTTCTTCAGTACATCAAATGTCTACCTTTATTGTCGATGACAGACTCAGTTCTACTGGATGTCAATGGAGGTAACCAGTGTTGCAAAAAGCTCTGGAGAGATCTTCTGCCGTCATCATTTTTTTCAGCGGCTCTTGTGTTGTGTTGCTCTAATCCTCTATTTAAAATATTCCAAATGTGTGCTATTGATATAATGTCATAGATCACTATCAGGCTGGAATATTTCTTCTCTGCCAGGCTTCAGCAGGGAAAGCATCTTTTCAGCCAGTATTTTGGTATATCCACAGGCATGTTTAGTGGAATATAGAAGTGTCACCTCTCCAACACCTTCAGCCCTCGTGCTGCCTCTTCTCGTCACCATGCTTCACTGTTAGGATCGTGCATTCACTGTGGTAGTCCTGGCCGGGATCATGCCAAACACGCTCAGCCCCATCTGAGCCAAACAAATTCATCTTGGTTTCATCTGACCAAAGAATGTGTACACAACATTCATCAGGATTCTTTACGTGTTCTTTAGCAACTCCCTGTGCCAAGTCTGAAGCATTTGAATATCTGGTTTTCAAAGCTAGATTGTGCAAGTAGCGCAACCGTCCATGGCGTCCCCTTGACAGAACAGGGATAGAATAGTGGTATCGTGGAATAGTGGTTTGCCTGATTGCTGATGCAGCTGTGTACTTGTCCATTCTCACGGTCAGATTTATCAGTTCCTCTGGTAATTCTTTTTAAAGTGAAGCTATGATGCAGATTGACACAGATCATAGCATGCATGGAAATTTACAATTTGCAATCTTTACAGTGTCTGTTTTTGATTGCTAATTAAGAGGGAATACTATTTATCTTAGAAACAATGAAATTATTGAGAGGTGATATAATTTGGAATCATTTGACATTTAAGTGATATTGCATGGGGGTGTACTCACTTCTGTTGCATTGTGTATATATCTGATTCAGACACAGTGTGTAGCTGCCCGCGAGCAAAAAAGCTGTGCTGTAACATTGTGTCATCCACCCTTCCTCTGCAGATAACAACAATGGAGTCCAACTTGAAGTCCATAGAGGAGGAAAACAAGGTGATTGAACAGCAAAATGAATCTCTCCTGCATGAGCTGGCCAACCTCAGCCAGTCACTGATAAACAGTTTAGCTAATGTCCAGCTCCCTCATATGGTAAGGGCCACCAGGAACGGCAAGCCAGCAGAATAAAGCTAATCATAGCATTATTTGTGTATTTAACCACAGCCTATTGTGCATGCTTACTCTAAAATGTGGAGCATTGCTTGTCTTTCCAAACCAGTGAGGGGGAGTTGTGAAATGAGGTTTGATTGGGCCTGCAGTTAGTTTCTCACAATGGTAGCAACTCCATGAACTGAAATTAAACAGTATATATATATATTGAGGTTTTGTCTGTGCTGTAGAAACACAGAATGATTGAAGACTTTAGTGCCTCTGAAGTGGTTGAATGTTCAAAACAAATTGTCTTTCATTGTCATTTCAATTCTGTGAACATATTTGAGGGATGAAAACCTGACTGTTTTTGTATGTGCTTCAGGTATCTTATTTTATTCACATTCACTCTAACTAGCTTTTTTTTTTTTGAAGATAAAACAAACAAAAAAAAACATTCCATTTTGTTGCTGAGGGTTTCATAGTAATCACACACAATTGAGTCCTGTTTTTTCCTTCACACTGCTATTCTTTCATGATATCCTGTTGAATAATGGACCGCTTACCAATTCACTGACAGAGAAATGAAGTAAACCTTAGTGAAGCATTCTTCTCTAAGAGACAAACATTTTTTTATAATAGGATCCTACTTTTATATTTCAGCAGCTGTTCAAATGAAAAAAAAACTCCATGACCCTGAAATAGAAAGAGATTTTATAACAGATACCTCCATGTAACACCAGTGAGTCTTGTGTTGTGTGTCTCCATCTGCATCCAGCTTCTATTTGTTAATCTGACAGATAACTTGAAGTGTACCATGTGTCGCTGTAAAATCAAATACTGCCATCTAGTGTTTAAGCATAAGAATACCATATAAGTTTGTTTAATCGAGCTAAGAGAAACGTGTCCCTCCATTCCCTCTCCAGAAACCTCTGGCACACAAAGAGCCTCCTCTAAGGAACAGCTGCTTACAGCTGCACCAGCAAGTAAGTCAAAGGCTTCCATCATTTAAACTGCTTTGTTCTTTTTTTATTATTATGATTTTAATATTGGATTTAACTTCCTCTATAATGTTGTCAGTGTTAAAGTGCTAAAAAAAGAATTTGAACCTTAAAAGAATCTGAACACTCAAATGTGAATCAGTACACATTGTCTGATATTAAAGTTTTAATACCAATGAAAAAATCACACTGTTTGAAACAATATAAAATATTATCTGCACACAAAATAAACTATTTTAAAGTTGCTCCGATAATTTTTAAATCTAAAACCAAAGGGTGAAGAAAGATGAGAAATTCAAACCTGCTGTTTGAAATTATTATTCAAGCCTGATGGAAACAGCACAATAATGGTCAGAAACTCACTCGTGTCTTTTGTGCAGTTTAACAAAGTTAGAATGCCATAAATCACTGAAAAACAAAAGATGATTTGTTTTGCTTTACAAAAATCTACAGGTGTTTTCAATATTAGAAAAATAATGGTGACTCTATGCACTATTGATATTTTACTATTTGCATTTTAACAACTGCTAGAAGGATATTTAACCATCCTGAATGTATCTCCCAACGATTTGCTGACAGTTTGCTCCTCTATATACCAGCTTTGAGCCATGCTGCATTTATTTTATTGATTAACTATGTTTCATTGTCCTCTCAGTCTCACTTTTCATCTGCTCTGTGTAAACACAGTCCTGCAGTATTTAGCCAAGTAGTTCCTAGTTTTTGTCACACAACTGTTGATCACAGATAGATCAAGTTGTGCTGATGAGTGCAGATTTTTTTTTCAGGATCTAATATATAATGTACCCTAGTTAGGATTAAGCCGTGTATAGATAATGGATGGATAGTATATAATGTTCATTTTTGTGTGTTTTAAAAAAAATAAAAAAGACGTATAGAACAAAGTAATTTCGATGAAATGTGATTTTAAGCTCAGATTTGGATCATTTTCTCAAACATCACACATGACTCTTGAAGGACCGTTGGAAAATGTAAACATCCATTCTTCAAAAATCTGTTGTAACAATCTTTGGCTCTGATACATGGTGTCATTTTGAGGATTTAAAAAGAAAACAAAAAAAACATGCTTTTGAAACTTGCCAGTGAGGTTTGGCATTGAGAGGGTTAAGACAGCTGCACACAGTGTCGCCACTGGGTGCAGCTGAAGTTTGTGCCAGAGCCGACCCCCATTATGAAAGAACTGTCCATAAAACTGCTGACACAACAGTTATTATGGAATCATCATCATCATCTTGGAAGTGTGTGTATTTTAAACCATTAAGGTTTTATATCAAAGGGATTTTAAAGGCTGTAATATCATCCCAATATAAAGTCTATGAGTTAAAGGGAGTCACAACAGAGTCAGTGGGAGAAATGTACATGTGCAATGGGCCATACAGCAGTGGAGCAAACCCAGGTTTATAGGCAGATGAGCTCAGTCAGCTACTTAGTGTGCACCATCGTGCACTTTTTTTTTTTTGTAAATACCGATTTTTATTTGATCCCAGCCAAAAAAGTGCTCTTTAAACTCACATACTGCAGTGCTAACGTTATGCAAACACCACGTACTTAGTAGTTAGTTTTAAATTTAGTCGTGTATTTGCTTAATAAAGTTCAATTGTTTGACCCTTATTAGCTTCCATACATTGTCCTTCACTCTGCCTTTCATTCTTGCCAGTCTTTTCCTCTAATAGCCTTTTTTTCTTTTTTTTCCCCTGCAGGAGCCAATAAGCGAGCAGAACTTTGACGCCTACGTCACCACTCTGACGGATATGTACACAAACCAAGACCAGTACCAGAGTCCAGAAAACAAAGCCCTGTTGGAAAACATAAAGCAAGCTGTTCAAGGGATCCAAGTGTAACCATTCAGCAAAGGGAGATTTTTGTTCCCCCAGCAGGTGTGGGTGGTGTCTCAGAATCCACATACAACAGGCAGTGATGGTTTGATCTCCTCGGTTCGGTGCAGTAACTTCTATAGTGTTATATATTCTAAATTCTGTTCTTTGAAAAAAAGAGGTATTACGCTTAGGAAGACCTCAAGATTATTTCTTTCTCTCTTTTCTTTCTGGGTCTTGCTTTGAGGAAGAACATAAAAGAGTAAACCGCAAAATAGTTTTTGAGGACATTCACATTTTGTACGTTTTCATATGAGCTGACATAGTGTCATGTAATGTTTCTAGCTGCTCATGTATGCACATTTTTAGTGTATATTTCTGAACAGTAAGCTAATGATAATGGAACGTGAGTTCTTTTTATTGCTTGACAACAAAGCATTTTAGATGAAAAAAAGTGGACAGTGAAATAAAAATGAAAAAACTACAAGCAAGGAGGAAGCTACTTATTTTTCTCCTCAATGGGTGATTTTGGACTTGATGATTTTAGATGTTTTTTTTCTTCTTCGTCTTCTTCTTCTTCTTGCGTGTAGATTGTTCAAGAGCAAGAACTGGTTTGCGAATCGCTTTATTTTCTGACAATGCTTGAGAAACGTTTGTGCTTTGTTCTGATGAAAAGAAAAGATGTGTAGCTGTAGGTGGGGGCATTTTTAATTGGTGCTGTAAATGAATCTGGAGAGGAAACTGACCTGATGTATGTATGAATGTATGTATGAACAGTTATATTGTAAACATCATTACACGGAAACCCGATGGTGGAAATCCCATTATGTAGGAGAGCCAATTAATTCCTAGAAGAACACATCTGTGCGGCGAATGCATGTTCACATGCTCATTGTCAATTAGTCTCAAGTAGAAAAGATGTGTAAAGACAATGACCTATAGAAACCACAGTCTAGCCTTTCTAGTATCAAATCTGCTCAATTTCGAGACTTGTGTTGCTAGGATCCAGAAATGTCTCAGCAATATAATAATTAAATCATTTGTTTATAGTAGGTACGGGATGCAATCTGCAAAGGAAAAAAAGTTGGGTATATGCAATTTCTTGTTTATAAGCATAGCGGGGTAACATGAATCTTTTTAATATAGCCTATGTAAAATATTGATTTTTATACAAATCTTTTAATACAAAAAGTCTTTTTAAAAAAGAGGAGGGAACCTGGACATTGAGTTTTAGATGCGAAAGTATATGAGTTCCACTTTTTTTCTGTACGATTTTGCACAGGGACACCTTCGTTTCCATGTTTTGATGTTCTTACAGAAACTAAAAGCAGTACCCGAGGGCCTAATACGAGGGTTTCAGAGGGTTTTGTAAAGAGTATTTATAGAGTATGACAGCGGGACTTACAGGGTCACTGTCCCCACTTATGTGCCAGTAGACTATTTGCACTTGTCCTTGAAGATATTATCCTTACGTACGGCGGCGTGCAATTTTCCAGGTGACCTCTTTGGCACACGATTGGAGCAACCAACTGCTTGGAGCCACTGTAGGCGTGGATTTAGTACCACTGAGAGAGGAGGAACAGGGACTTGAAATCAGAGAAGAGGATGATTATAACCATAGCAGTTATACTGTAGGCTATTATCAAGTGTAAAAACATTAACAAAGTTCTTTCATTTTTGCTATGTTTTAGGAAGATGAAGTTATCCCCCAGCAGCACTTTATATCTAATCACTGTACAAAGGATTAAATAGTCAATCAATTCAAGGTTTTAAAAAAAAGCAGAAGAAACGAAGGTCTGGTGAAACGAGACCTTTGTGGGGTGATACAATCCAGCGTCACATCTGTATGCCTGACTGTATGCACCCCTCCATTCTGTTGTCCTAGTTGTTAGCGATCATGTTCAGAATTTGCCTTTTTGAGAGCTAATGCAAAAGGTGCTTGTCGTTCACCTGATTGAATCTCATCTATTGTACTTTACTGTCCTCTTTCAGGACTCTACTACCCATCATTCATGACTGCATACGCCTTTTTCCACAGCATCGTGTCTGCAGCTTTTTGCCAATATAGTAATGCTTCAGTAGAGTAATAGCTAGTACCAGTTTTTGAATTAATTCTCATTATCAGTGAAAATGGAAAAGGGATTTTAAAGCACAAACCGGCTGCTCATCTGATGTTGGTACATTAATAACAAAACTGAAAAGAGTTATCTGTGACTATCTATAGGGAACACAAAAAGGTCGTCACATATTTAGAATGCTGACTTTTCATATAAATTATTGTGAATTCATCAGAGTTTATTATTTTGTTTGAGCCAGTTCATTTTGAGATTGATTTCAGTGACCATTAACAAAGACAGGATTTTGTATAAACTATTGTGCTCTCTGTGGAACTGAAGTTTGATTTATTTTTGTACTACACAGCATGGATTTGTTGACATTTTAATTTTGCTATAAATGTGTGAGATCACAAGTTGCTGTGATATTTCATTTATAAATTGTGAACTTTGTACAATTTTTGTCATGCTGGATGTTGACACATCTTACTCAGAATAAAGAAAAAATGTGTTGCCAGAGGCCTGTAAAATGATTTCTTTTGTGTGTTCATTATATAATGATTCTCCATAGCCTGACCTCTGATTCCTACAATGTTTCTATAATGTTATTTTTCAATGAGCCAGCAGATGTCAGTAAACTCCATTTGTACAATTCATTATTGTACTATTATGTCATACGGTCTGGAGGTGTTCCTACACTATGCAACTGTCACAGACGAACCATTCCACTTTCTGACAGCCAGGTTAGCTTTCTAAAATTAAGTGTGTATGGAGCTTTCCTTCTCTCTTGGTGCACCCTGTTTTGACTGTGATCCATCCATTACATGGCTGTTATCAACTGCCATTGCTCCCATAATTATGATTCAAACTGGGCAAACTGCACCTACTAGTGGGTCAGAAAGTGTGTTGTTATCTACTCTGATGTTAGATAAACGAAAGTAACCAAGTAGCAAACTCCAATGCACAAATGCCAAAACCTGCAGTACCTCAAATGTCCACTAGATGCTGGCCTTAGAAGTGAGTCAGTCCCCATAGACCCCCATGTTAAAATCACCATCTTTACAGCAGAAACAAACACGTTCACAGCCTGGTTCAAAAAACAGCTTTGATCTCTGTAGCTAATTTACAGGGTTGGGTGACAACTGGAGCCACCACATATCTTTATATACAGTCTGAAAGTAACCCACATTATGAAGGCAACCTCTTGCTGTTAAGTCAATAAGTGCATGCAAAATGTATGCAAATGAAAGACACAGAATCCTGCATGTTGCATAGAATTCTGTGATGCAGTTTGTGCTCCCTGTGACTAACAGTCCATGGGCTACATCTGGCTTTGAAAACTGAAACTAAAGTTTTCATTTCATAGTTTGATCAAAATTTCTTAAATTCTTGTGTTGGCTCTGTAACAACAAACATAATCAATGATTTTCTGTCTCGACACAGAGAAATGGCAGTCTAATAGACATGTCTTTCCTGCTATTTTTTTCTAAAGGAGCAATAATGACAGTATTTTCATTCAACCATAAATGAAGCAGGTAGACATTTACAAAGGTGTCAGTACCCTGTCAGTGACATTTCTGATAATGCAACACAAAGCATACATTTGTGTAGATCAGTTACAGCTGAGATATTTAGTGAATTCATCAGTTAGGTCATTTACAGAAGATAAATCTGCATTTGTTTTGATCATGAAATATCTGTTCTAGTCAACAAACCCCTCCTCAAAGGTAATGATTTGATCTTTGACCATTTGATTTGACCAAACAAGACATTCAAGATGCCACCTTAGATGATAAAAGGCACTTTTCTGACGTTTTATCAGCAAAACTTTTAAACGATTGACTGAAAAAATAATCAGCAGTTTGATCACCAATGAAAACAAGCATCCGTAGCATCCCGTGGCTAGTCTTTGTTACATTACTTGACAACAACACAACCTTCTGTAACTGTTTTGGCACTCACTGCTGAAAAACAATGGTATACACTCTGAGCCTGCACATGCCCACTTTGTAACTCAGGTTTTGTGTTAGAGAAGTTGCAGTGTTTGGGTCTGGACAAAGCTCCTTGACAGCTTGTTTTCATGCTCAGTAGTTCTCCCTGCGAGCAGCTTTAGGGCTGCTTTAGGGGTGCAGTCTATAAGGGATTGGTTGGCTTCGGTTAGTTTAGACTCCACATTAGCACATTGAGCACAGAATGACCAGTTTCTGCAGAAGGTCAGCCAGTAAAGGAGTTGTTGGCATTATTATCTTTGCATTATACGTCCCATATTTCATTAAGGCTCATGTGAATTTTCAATGCTGTTACATATGGTAATGTCTACTTACAGTGAACTTCCAAAGAACATTATACTTGTGGTCTGGCATGGAGGTGGCAGAGTAATGTTGAATGAAATATTGAAATGATTTCTGCTCTCTGACAGAGAATCCTGAAAGATGCTGCAAGACAATCGTTTCAAGCATGAGAGTAAGTTCAGTTCTGAATGGCTGAAATGGACTAAATGGCCTAGTCGAAGTCCAGACCTGAACTCCACTGAGATGCTGTGGTGGCACCTGAAAAGGGCAGTTATTCCCTCTAAACCCTTTAATATGGCTCCACTAAAGTGGGTCAGAAACTACCACAGAGATATCAGACACTGATTATCAGGAGGTGGAACAACCAGCTATTAAGTTCAGGGAGCTGATTAGGTTTTCATGGTGGGGATACAGATAACCTTTTTGCTTCAATCCATACAATTATTATTTAACACTTGTATTTAGTGTTTATTCACATTTTTTTTGTTATATTTTATTTCTGACACAGCTTTCATTTGAGATATACAGAACCATTTAAATCAGGAGGGGGACAAATACTTTTTCATAGCACTTGTATGTTTCAAAAGGATGAATCCTCAGACTGAGGGAAAGACAGAGCTCTTGTGCATACAGCCCCATGGAGAGCACACACTGATGTGTTTTCCTTTAGCAAGCCTCTCCA